ACCTTGGCCATCTCGAGCTTGTACTTGTGCAGTGCCTTCTCCTTCATGTTGACGTTGTTGGCCTCGGCCGTCGCTTCGAGGAGCGTCTTGGCCTCGGGGAAGATCGTCGCCTCCTTGAAGAGCGCCGCATACGACTTGATAAAGGTGAGGAGCTCCTGCGACGAGACGTCGACGCCGTGGATCTTCTTGGGCTGCAGCGACGTCGCGCCAAAGAGATGGTTGAGGTACGACGTCAAGAGCTCCATGAAGCGACTGTCAATCTCGTCAATGGACCCGTCATAGTCGCGGTCCGTGACAGCGTGGCCCGGGTGCGACAGCAGAATGCACGAGATGGACTGGAAGCATGCAAAAATCTGTTCGCGCGTGTCGGCAAGGTCTTGCTGCTTGCGCGCCGCGAGGATCTCCTGCGTGTACGCCTTCATGTCGGCCTTCTTCTCGTCGAGAGTCGCCGACCGCTTGAAGTCTTGCCAATCGCGCACCAAGAAATCGAGGTGCTGGAACGGACGCATCTGTCCGTCGTGGGCGCCTTCGCCATCGTCGTCGTCGTCGTCCGACTTGGCGTCTTCAACGTCCGTGGCATCGACCACGTCGTTGGCGTCACTCGATGCCTGCTTGGCGAGGTTCTTGTCCGAGACCGCCTTGGCAAACGACTGGATGCTGCGCAGAGACGCCGCCTTCATCTCGGCATTGTCGTTCTGGTCGATCGAGCCCTGGAGCGCCATGCTACACCCGCGCTGAGTATAAACATGCGTTTGGTTGCGAGGACGCACCGGCCATATTCGGTAAACAGCGCCAGATGCTGGAGGTTGTCTTCCTGGACGCGCTTGTCGACGTTGTAAATCTGGTACGAACTCAAGAGCGTGCTGAGGCCAAAGATGCTCGCCGTGAGCATCTGCGACGTCTCCGAGTCGAACATGCCCTGCGTGTCGATGAGGAAGACGGCAATGTCTTCGCCGTCCTTGCTCTTGCGGATAAACGGCTCGCCCCACATCCAGATGCCGGTCGTGTTGCGCTTTCGGCCCGCGCGCCACGAAAAGCCCGTCTCGCCGTGCGTCTGCTCAAAGTTCGAGTTGCCCTCGAGCTGCGCGCCGTGCGCCATAGCCCACTCGCGCGTCGTGACGTCCGGCGACTCGTGCGTCGACGTGTACTTCAAGTAGCGCAAGAAGAGATCCAATACGAACGACTTGCCCGTACGGAAGGCGCCGACGACCGAGATGATTGCAACCTTCATGTCGCCGGGAACCTACTCGCAGCACCATGAGGCTCATCGTCGCCATCTTCGTGAGGAGCGTTGACGTACCTTGCCAAGGATGGATTCGATCGCTTCGTCGTTGAGCTCAAACTTGGTACCCTCGTCGTCAATGCGCACGATCTACCCGGGGTCGCATGGGTGCATGGAGCGAATGGCGTGGGCATGGTACCTGGATCGCGCCGACCTGCGGCGCCGGCTCGGCGGCCGGGCTCGCGCTGCTCGCTTCGACATGCTCGTCCATCGTGCGTCCTTGTAGTATCGAAGAATGCGCCTATGTAGTCAATACTCTTGGGTTGGGAAAAACCTCTTAAAATGAATATTGTCCCGAGAAATATGCAATCTCAAGGTTCAAGTGACGGCGGCACGGAGGAGGACGATGGTCGTTCGACAGCTTTCGCCGCCCGCCATGGCCTTGACCGCGCTCTACCTGCGTTACATTAGCTGGCTGTCCTCCATAGAAGCCGTGGCCGGCAATTGTGGCGCTCCCGCGGCACCGGCTGCAGCGTCCTGGGCTATAGAGACGCACGGTGCACAGGATGGCCACGTAAGGATACCGTGGATGCTATATGATGTCGTGTCATAGATAGGCTGTCAACGTCAACGATGATGATTGGCATTCCCTTGAAGCTCCAGCGATGACACCATCGACAGCACACTCGACTTGGACCCTCTCTAGTCGTCGTCATCGTAGAATTTAACGTTATGGTAGAATATGGGGTGTCTAGAAGTATTTAAACACTCGAGTCGGAGAACATGATGTAGCCGGCATGACCAAGCGCGAGGCCGACACTCGAGAGGAAGATCACGTCGATCTGCTTCTGCGGCAGTCGGCCGCGGAGCCCGATGCGGAGGAGCGGGATGAGCGGGCCATACAAGAGCGGCGCGAACAAGTGGAGGTTCGGGCCGGCCGCGGGCTTGGCCTCGACGGCCGGCGGCGGCGTCCACTCTCGTCTGTTCGGGGCCATCGTCGTCGTCGTCGCGGTGTCGAGGATTCGATTGTGTTGGTGCGAGAGAGTCCAGCCGCCGCGATCGTCCTGTCCTTTACC